GGCATCACATAGGATTTAACTGGGCAGTCATTTTCATTGCATGTTATAGGAGGAGTGTGAGCCAGTCAAGAAATGCATGTAACACTACAGGGCAAAAAGTCTGTGTTGTTCCCTCTGGTTCCTCAGTATTGACTTTCTGGGACCATATACTTTCTGCCTCTTGCCTTGGGATATTTAGGCAACAAAGGCAAACTGTATAATCACTCTTCTTCTGTTTCCTCTCTAACATCAGAGGAGGTTGTGATACACATTGAGGTAAGAAGAGTCAAGATTTTGATGTATCGGATGAGACGGACTTTCTGCCTGTTGCCTTAATCTCAGACCTTTAGTTACTCTCCTTTATCATCACCTAATTTCTTTAACATTTAGTCTCTATTTTATCCCACTGGAGTTTTTGTGTCATGCGAAAAACAGGTGTTGTATCAGTGGGGTTTAAAGAAGGACCTTCATCATGGCATCGGTGTTTTAAACTAACATACCACTGACTTACTGGTAATCACAGCACAAGATGGTCAACATGTTCTTCCATGTTATTGTGACCAGCCTTTTGAGCAGATAGCAGTTGTAATACAGCTTTTGGGGAGCGAGCATCATAAAAAGGCCATGACACTGTCTGCAATTGTCATGTATGTCTGTCTGGTAATCAATCAGATCTGAATGCTCACTCTGTACAGGAACAAATCACCTGATCTCAAACTAAGAATGTGTAAGAAGCAAAGTCGATAGCTTACACCAGGCTGACTTCAAACAGAAGGGGGAAATCCCTCCATTTTCTGATGGAAAAGAAGGTGGGAAATGGATCAGGCAGGTTGACTTTTGGAAGTTGTAGATTCCTGCTTGTCTTAGGAGCAGCCTTTTCCAGCAAGTCAACAGAAGCAGAAAGGTCAGGAGAGTGCAGGGAGGTTGAAACAGAGAGGAAGTGTTGTGATTGTTCCCCTGCACTGCTGTGGTACATCTGTCACCAGGGTGTATGGGTGCAGCTTTTTTGCAGGGGAAGTCTGTCAGTACAGAACTGGCAAGTGCAGCACACACTCCAGAGACAAGTTAGCAGGGGTGATTTAGGTTAGATATAACGAAGGAATTCTTTGCTGTGAGAGCACTGCCCAGTATTGCCAACAGGCTGCCCAAGGAAGCTGTGGCTGCCCCATCACTGGCAGTGTTCAAGGTCACATTGGATTAGGCCTCGAGCAACCTGGTCTAGTGGGAGGTGTTCCTGTCCATTTCAGGGGGGTTGGTCCTTTCCAACCCAAACTATTCTACGATTCTACATATGGGTACAGTCATGCTGGTGATGTTTGTTACTGGTTATACCATGCCTAACAACCTCTCACTGAATTGTTTCCCAATTACATTTGTAACTCTGAGTCAAGAGAGCTTCTACTCTGTGACTGGGATGTTTCAAAGCTGCTTGAACATCCTTGGGACACAATAGGGAGCTCTGGGGTTTTGAATACCAAGTTATTTTCTTCTCATACAGCAACACTGGGACTCAGCCTATGAATGAACCAAGGCTGCAAGTTCACTCATCCAGAAATTCTTTCAGCAAGTAGCAGATAGCTCAAAAATGTCAGTGTCATCATTGTATTTCTTTGTCTTTTATTAACCATAACTTAGCAGTCTAATTTGGTGGGTTTACATTGTATCTCTTTAAGGTATCACCTTACAAATAGTCAGAGAATCGTTTTTATTCTTGGATATTTTAAATGTTAAATGAGGGCTTAGAAGGGAAGAAGGCAAAGGCTACTGTGGCTGAGCTGAAGAACAGAGAACAGACTCCTTAGCAAATTAAGGATCTAAATGTAAGCTGCTCCATTCCCAAGAGGCATTCATAATGATTATGTTCTGTAGCTGATTTATTTATAACTGTAGCAGTTGCAGTGGGAACAAAACATTAGGCCAAATTTTGACCTCAGACTATAAATCGAGAATCATTTAACTTTTTTTTTTTTTTCCTTTTTTTAATGGCATTACTTTGGATTCATCCTGCTGTAACTGAGATCAGGATCTGTTCTGTTGTATTAGGTTTTTTTTTTCTCTGAGACCAGATTTGTATCTTTTCTGTTTGTTTTGTCTAATTTTGAACACAAAGAGCAAGAGTGTATGTTTAAACTAGTGCTAGGTCACCTTGAGGATGACCAGGCTTTGAGCCTCCTCTGCACTCCAGGGGCAGGCTGGCTGGCAGGTTTTCCAAGGCTGAGGAGTCTACCACACTGCGCCACTACCAGTTGCTTTCAGTGGCACAAGGAGGCACTTTTTAACTATTTAGGACACTGTGTCAGTTTGTAAACCAGTTTTGCAGGAAAGGGAGAGAAGTCAGAGAGCCATTACAGATTCTGCTGTACCTAGTTAATAATGCTGTGATAGCAGCAGTGTTCCACTGTTTATTTAAGAGTAAATGAAACAGTGATAGCTTTGAAAAATTGGGGAAGTTCCACAGTGGCAAGTGAAACTACACATCCTGTCTGAAAACTTAATGCATGTGAGAGGCAGTGGGGACACTGCAAGCTAATTATGTACCCTAAGCTGCTCTGCACCAGCTATTTTTTCTTTCCTGTGTGTTATTTACATCTCCTCAGATTGACTGCCTAACCCATCTAAAAAGCTGTCAGATGAAAGTCCTCACACGCAGCAGAAACAGTGCTCTGTGGCCTTTGCACTTACTGCACTTACTGTTAAGTGGGAACATGGGCTGCAGAGAAGTTAAAAGGATTCTTCAGCTTGGCTTATTCAGCATGTTTTAGTCAGTTAATACAGAAGCATGAGTTTCTTCATTACAGTAACATTCTTTAGTCATAATTAGGTCAACCCGTGGAAGAAAGTAATTTTTCTTCATTTTGGGACATACCTGTTCTGGATCAGAACATACAGCACCTTAAAGAATTTTTATGTCTGTTCAATGAACCAGTTTGCTAGTTATTCCCCTTTGTTAAGGCCTAATATTTTAAAATTCTGCTTTGGGTAGCTTTTACAAAAAGGTAAAGCAGGCTGCTGCGGTAGTCATTCCTGAATTTATACATGCTTTTGTAGCAGAAATGTGATCCCCCTAGTTAATAAGCAAACTGGAGGTTCTGTCATGTTTTCTGATAGATTGTATTTATTATGCCCTTGGAAATAACAACAATCATGTATTATAACCCAGGTGTTCAGCTAATTGAGCAGCTTTTTGATTCAAGTATTGGGAAGGCAGCTGTACATATTATCATTTCCGTAGTTTAACGATGTCTCAGTTCATGCTTGAGCATTCAGGCCTCCTCCTCTGGGACCTTTGATATTAGCTCTAGGATTAAGATGAATGGATGTGGCAACAGAAAGCAAACATTTCTTAAAGAAATAAAGGGCTTGTGTTTTGATAGATGTGACCATTTTGCTGGTTAATACATAAAGAGTAAGAAGAGCTGCACTGCATCTCTAAAGCTGCTTGAAATTACATCAAAAGGGTTTGCCTCTGATGAACCCAGTACAGGCCAAAAAAACCCTAAGGCACATTCCCACGTCATCTGCACCTCAGCAGTGGCAAATCTAGAGGCAGTACAGGGATACACTGAGCAAGATACTTCTGCTTGCTAATGTGCCGTGTTACTTCCATGGTGACAAACACAGCAGTGTTCACGTCTGCAGTGCATATACCCTGGTACCTCCTTGGCTAAGGAGTCGAAAATAAGGTGCATGTTTCTGTTGATGTGACCCAGACTGACACAGCCACAGCTGATAATATATGTGATCTATAATCAAAAATCTGCTTTCATTATGGAAATTGTCGCTGTATGTCTTCATGTCCCCCCTCAGTGCAACTGGGCAATTTATCCATTATCTCACATTCTTATGAGTCCTGAGCAGTATTTAATTTAACGAGACTAAAATTTGAAAACCAGAAAGCTTGCAACAGTATTAAATCTACTATCTCCAGCTTCTTTCTGCAAATAATAAATGTAATTTTGTATGGCAAAATATAAGGTGGGAAATACTGTCATTTGAAAATAGAAGTTTATTTGTCTCCTGCTTCCTCTTGTATTACATATTTTTGTTGTTGAGCATGAGTTGGGGTTTTAGAAAGTGTGGGACTGGCTAGCTGTGATGTTTGTTTTTTGTCTTAAAAGAAGCAATAACTTACAGTTATGTAGTTCAGATCTGACTAAAACATGAACTATTAAGATTTCAGGAGGATGTGCAGCAAAGAAAAATAACAGTACAGTTTTGACAATGGCACTAAAGTCATCATGTCTGAGGGACAATCATAAAAGAAGATAAACTCTTTAGCTTTTTGGAACAGCTCAATACACAATGCCATACAATTCATAAGTCTTTAATGAGGAGCAGTTTTGAAGGAATTATTAGTGCCACGCTGTGGATGCCCGACTGTTTACTTGCAAATACTGCTTTTGCTACTGCTTTGGAGTCTCTGGCTGTGAAGTGGTTTAACTTTGAAGGTATTTTGGATGAGCTATCCCTGTGTCATCTCAAGAGTTTTTCTATTAAAAGATCAGCCGGATTGGTACACACAACTGGGAGGAAGGTGAAAGCAAAAGGGTGTGTCCTTCAAACAAGTTATTTCAAATTCATCATTAAATTTGAAAATTTGATGCTATGAAATTCCGCTGTTGAATGAAATGAGCAGGAGAGTGTCAATTCTAGGATGAGCGCTGTGTCTATCAGTATGCAAACCAGCCATATAAGGTTGTAAAACCATTGAAGTTAATGGGACAGTGTGCACTGCAGTGAAAATCACATTTCTGAACGTTATAACACTGAATGTTTCTCCATTAAATTATTCATGGAAAAAGGACCAGTACCTCTCAGTCTTGATTCACTAAAGTTGCTTAAGTATTCGGTTATCTTTGATGCTAGTGGTCAGATGTGTGCATTAAGTGACCTTCTAGATTGGAAAGGAGGCCTAGGAAGTCGTAACCTAGTTTGCATTTCCAACTCACACTTTGCTCCAAAGCCGTTGTCTTGGGAGGATGACAGGATGGTTATGACAATCCAATCTACTCTATTCACAGGTGTTCCCTTTCCGAAGAACTTCCTTCAGATCTGCAAGAAGATACTTTGCCGGCTTTTTCGGGTGTTTGTTCACGTCTACATCCATCACTTCGACCGTATCATCGTTATGGGGGCTGAGGCTCACGTCAATACTTGTTACAAGCATTTTTATTATTTTGTGACAGAGTTCAATCTCATCGACCGCAAAGAATTAGAGCCTTTGGTAAGTGTGGGGTTGGGGGGAAAGCTCCAGGAAGTTTTTCTTCTCCTTTCACTGAGCCTTTCCCAACGCTTGTTGCAGTGGGTTTCCTCTGAGGGTAACATCCATGGTTGAACACAGGCAGTTTATAGGGATAAACACTTGCATCTGTCCATAGGCCCATTCCATCTGCTGCAGTATTTGTGTGATGCTTGGTAGGCTCAGTAGAAAGAGAAAAGTGCAGTATATTTTGTATGGAAAAATATAAGGTGGGAAATACTGCCATTTGAAAATAGAGATTTATTTATCTTCTGTTTCTTCCTGTATTACATATTTTATATATATTTTATTCTATCTTTTTTCATTGGTCAGTAACAGCATAATAGTTACACCCTCGAATCACTCAAAACACATATGAAAGGAAGACTGGTCTGTGTAAAGGTGAATTGTTCATTTTTTTTTAAATCTTTAAGTAACTGTTTGTGGAGGTATTGAGTGTGTTAACATCCAGAACACACTCTGGATCTAAGTGAGACAGATGAAGTGAGACAGAGGTTCAAACAATTAGCAGCGTAACAAAACTAGACATTTCCATTTGGACTGAAATAGATCAAAGTTAAATTCATTGTTTCCAAAAATAAGACTCCAGAAATGGAAATGCTTTCACTGTTGCTTTCAAATGCAAATAAAATGAAAGTGTAAGCAGGGAAGGAAAAGTAAGGTGCAATTCAGGAAGCAGTTTACCTGCAAATCCTCACTGGCACTTAAAAGTGATCAGGGCAATGTTTCTCCAAGTGTCAGAGTTTGGAAATACAGTATCATATAGCTATTGATGAAGTGCTCGAAACAGTGGGATTTATTATTTTTTTCTCCACAGAATCATAAAATGGCTGAGGTTCTATGACAGCTATGGATATCATGGAGTCCAAAGCCTTGCTCAGAGCAGTGTCACTTAGAAAGGGCTGACCAGGACCATGTCAAATTTTCAGCTGTTCCACATAAAGGCACGTTGCAAGGAGGTGTATTTCATAGTTGATATGAAACACTTCTGAAAGTGTGGCAAAGTGATTTCTACCTGGGTTTCCTCAGGAATTGGAGCTGTTGCAGGTGTGGTACATGTATATGCTTATGTGGATTGAAGAAAAGACTGAAAAGTCAGACAAAATGGATGGTCTTGTTTCCAGCAGTTCACAAGGCCTGCTGAAAGACTGCTTATGGCATGTATCAATAACTTGCAATGTACCTATGGTTTCTTTCTACATAGAAGAGCTTAATATTCCATCTGAATGCGTCCTAAGGGACAGAAGGAGGGCCTGCAAAAGAGAACTTCCCTGCCAGACTGCTGATTCTGGATTAGCTGTAGCTGTTAAGTGCTGAGATGTGTCAGAAGCAAGATCCAAGGTAGGATATTTCAGAGGTAGTAACAGGGGCAGTTTTCAGGTATTACAAGTTTCTTGCTTACATTGGAATAGAGAGAGCACACAAATGATTTAATGCTGCACTTATGGCTTCCAATATTCCTGCACTAAGTGGACAGACAAAAGATTTGGGCCAGTGGTGCAGGAGGTGGCCCAAGCCCAGCAGCAGAGCAAGCTGCTAATATGTTCCAACTGGTGTGTGCATTCCAGCATTCCCTTCCTTCACAACATTATCTTTAGGACCATCATATGATGCAGTATTATTAACTTTGCTGGGATGCAGAGTCTCCCAGAAAAATGTTTCACCTGCCCTGGGAAAGCACCATGTCAGCAAACTATCAAAGCTCCACCTGCTTCCATCTTCCTGTCCTTGGCTTGTGTGGGTATCAGCAGTGTGGAAATGCAGAAATAACACATCTGTCTTTTTGTCTTCAGCTGGGCAGAGAGAAGGGAGGGAGTTTTAAAACAAAAGCAGACATTACAAACACTCTTGAATTTTAATGCAGTCATTGAGTACAACCTGTGCCCTGCCAGATTCACCATAGCAGGAAATGAGTCCACATTATCTCCCTTAATTAGAAAATGGGCCAAGAGCTGATTAAATAAACTGCCACAGCTTTATTAAACCGGGAGGCAACTGATTTATCAACATAACTTCAAGAAGGGGGAATGACTGGGGAAGCAGGCAGAGGATGAATAGTAATATTAGGCTGCAGGACTTTGCTCTTTAGATTTTATCAGCCTTTTGCAACCCAGTGCAGCACTTATAAGATAAAATGAAGCAAATGAGTCAAATGGGGTTCCCCCTCCCATTCAGGAGTTACATAAGTTACCCTTTCTGCAATCAAAGAGGGGGATATAGTTCAAAATTCTGCATGTCTTTTTCTCATCCTCGTCACTGTGCTAATTTGACAGATCCCCAAGTTTTTGTAGACCTGTTTTATGTGGGGACAGAAAAGGAGGCTGGCACAGTCACTGACCCCACAGGTGGTCCTGAGGAAGAAAATGTATGTCCAACTGGTTAATCTGGGGGAAAAGAAGTCTGAGTGCATATCTGTCCTTTCCTGAAGCTAACAGGCAGAAAAGGCAGCCCACACCATGAGAGTTCTCAGGAGACCCTTAAGGCCTGCCTCCATGGGGAAGCTATCTGGGAATAAACTAAGATTTGAATTTTAAGATGTGGCATCTGCTTTGTGGTGGCTCCCTGTGTGACTGGCTTTATTTCCACTCGCACATTAATTCATTTCCGAGCCTCTTCCCCTGGCCAAAACTATCTGGCGGTGTGGTGCCTATTACCTCCATCCCACCCACCCTCACCCTGTGTAGGTGTCTGCTTGTGTAGGGTGCTTTAAACACTTCACCTGAATGTGCCCTTTAGTGAGAATCTTAATGCAGCTGCCTCAGTATGGTAGCTTACTGTTCAGATGGCAGTCCAGCTACAGCAAGTAATGCTTCTCTACTTCCTTTCCGTGATCCCCTTTCTCTAACAACAAATTTCATAGTATGTAGGACTGAAGAAATATGAGTACTCTGTGTCATGAGCAACATCTTGGTTCAGGAAATTTTAGTCAATTTATTGCCAGTTAACAAAGCTTTTCATTACAGATCTGGATAGTGAGGAAAAAAATCCACAATTAATCAAAACCTTGTTGAAGAAACACCTTTCTTTGTCAGGCTCTAATTCAGTGAAAAATTTCTCTTCCTCCCTTCCAAGTCTCAACTCACTTTGGTTTTGATACACATTGCACTCACATACTCCTGTCATGAAACCGGAGGGTCAGCACAGCTACAGCAGTATCACTTCTAGGAAGGGCAGGTAAACTAGAAATTGAAGGCTTCTGAAAAGTGATAAAGTTAATGCCAGAGAGGCATTAAACTCAGAGTGATTTGTTTGGGTCCTTTTTCCCCAGCAGAACTTGACTGTCAGACAGAAGAACAGAGACAAAGAATCCAGAGCTATAGCTCTCCTTCAGTCATATAAGAGCCCTCTGATTCAGAGGCCTTAGAGATTTGTTACTCAATCTCAGTGCATTTTGTCAGATAGCAGTTGGTGATGCAGCCAAGTCTGCTCCCAGCTTCTCAGCATTCATCTGTGTGTATCAGAGTATCTTTTTATGATTTCTAAATCTCTGCATTTTGACTGATATTGCACTGTGCCTTGTGTTTGTCAGAGTTAAGTAAAAGAAACCCCAACCACCTAAAAATGCGGTGAGATTTCAGTGTTAAATTTAGAGATCTGATCATGATGTAATTCACTTAAAGGAACAAAGTTTCGAGGTTATTTTTATGGTTTTTTTTTAAACTTGTGGGAGGTGTTGACCTAGCTTTTTTCTTACTACTGAGCGTTAGTATCGTAACTTTAAATTGTATCTCTGAAGAGGAGAGATAGGCGGGAAAAAAATATGTATATATAAAATTTGGTCTTTTTTGCTATGCTACTCAGATGATAGGACTGGCTTTGAGGAACCTGGTCTACTGGGTGCTGATGGGGTCCATCTGTCAGGGAAGGGGAAGAGTATCTTTGCTCAAAGGCTTGCCAAACTGGTGAAGAAGGCTTTAAACTAAACTTGCTGGGTGAGGGGAATCTCAGTCTATCCCATAACAACCAGTTTGATGCTACTGCCAGCAAGAGATGCCTAGAGCCTGGAGAGGGATCGCAGGTCAGCAGGAGAGCACCTGAATAACAGCACAAGGAAATACCAGCCTCTCCAGCCGGTAAGTCAGCTTCATCAGAGGCCCGGCTTACAAGTCTTTATCCAAATGCATGTAGCATGGTGAATGTACAAGAGGAGTTAGAGATGTGTGTGTGCCTGCAGTATGCCTGCAGTGACTTATTAGCATTACAGAGATGTGGTGAGATGGCTATGACTGGAGTGGTGGAATGGGAGGATACAGGCTGTTTAGGGAGAACTGGCTGGGGACACAAGGACAGGGTGTCACCTTCTCCACCAGTGACCAGTACAGGGTTCTGCCTGGAGATGGATAAGGAGCTGACCAAGAGCTTATGGGTCAGGATTAAAGGGAGGGCAGGGACAGGGGACATGACAGTGGGAGTCTGCTACAGCCTGCCCAACCAGGGAAATCAAGAGAAGGAGGCCCTCTACAGACAGTTAAGAATAGCTTCATGTTCACAAGCCATCATCCTCATGGAGGTCTTCAGACACCCTGGTATCTGTTGAAAGGACAACACAGCAGGGCACAGGCAATCCAGTAGGCTCCTGGAATACATTAGTGATAAATTCATTGATGACAAATTCCTTCTTGAGTGATAGAGGAGCCAACAAGGAGAAGTGCAATGCAGGACATTGCTTTCACCAACAAAGTCCTCCTTGTTGGTGAAAGCAAGAAGCCCTTGTGGGAAATGTGAAGCTCAAGGGCACCCTTGGCTGTGGTGACCCCAAAACAGTGTAATTTGAGATCCTTAAGACAGTGAGCAGTTTATGTAGGAAGCTCACTACCCTGAACTTCCGGAGAGCAGACTTTGGCCTCTTGAGGGATCTCCTTGGTGGAATGCCATGGGAAAAAGCCCTAGAGGGAATAGAAGCCCAAGGAAACTGGTTAATATTCAAGGATCACATCCTCCAAGCTCAGGAGTGATACCTACTG